AAACAACTCAGCAACACTTGGCGATTAACTGGAAGAATCTTTTTTATTTCACCAACACATTTCAGTGCAGTGCAGGGCCTTTTGTCAGATGGATTCAAATCACTCCGCATTGCAGAGTATTTTTTTTTTTTGTCACAGACACCAGACTACACACAGGTGGCAGCATTAAATGGGCACTAAATTAATTAGTCAACGTGGTGCATCAGGGATACCAAAATAATTTTCCTACAATACCCATATACCATTACCCCTAATAACTACAACAACAGCTTTTTTATTCATGTTTTTTCATAAATGTTTCCAATAGGTTTTAACATGTTCAAAATGGAAATTGACACTATAGGTTTAATGATGGGTTATTGCCACATTCTAAACTAAGTGATATGCTTAAGTTCAATGAAAAAAGACATGTATTTGGAAAAATACATGAATATTTCTCTAGATCGGGGTACAGGGGGTATGTCCTGATGTTGTTGGTTAGTGCACCACATTATTGATTTAATTAATTCAATGCCTTTTTATTGCTGCAACCTTTGTATCTGAATTAAGCACGCTAAAGAAGGGCTTGGTCTGAGACATTAGTGTACATTAAAAATATTTCAGTTGCCTTTGTCTGTTTTGAATATCTGCATTACACCTAAAAAGAAGGGATGAGACAATATTTTCACATATATTCTCATGAAAGTAATCCAAGCAACATAATAAGGTGGGTGTTATCAAGCTAAAAGAATGCCACACATTTTGCTACTTACTTTGAAGGCAGATTGAATACAAATATCCATTCAAATTACAGTAGCTCCTTCCATAAATTTGTGAGTCTTAACGATGCCTGTTAAACATCATTCCAGTATGAACACTGTCGGCCCATAAACACACATTCAAAACACACACATGCCTCCTTGTTCACCTTGTGGCGGGCTGCTCTCGTGGTGTTGACAGGGGAGACAAGGGCTCCCATTGACGGGGTCGCCCTCCTCCCCGTAGGACCAGATGTTTAGAGTTAGCGGGCAGTTTGAAAATGACACACTCATTCTTGCGCCATTTTGGATTTCCCACTTTGCCCCTGACGGGCGAGTTGAGAAGGTGAAGAAAAATTGAAGGAGAAGAGGGAAATTCAGTCAGAAGAAGAATAGTTCAAATATAGTAAAAGATGGAAAAAAAGGTTCAGCAAACCTGCATTTCATTATCCCTAATGCTCCACCTTCAGCCGGCCTGGAACTTCTCATCGTCTTCCGCTTGAGATTTATGCAAGAGCACGCTATTTTTCAACACCAAATAAAGCCATGTGTAGGCGAAATATTCAAGGACTGGACGGACCATCGCAACCCTTCTGTGTCACGTCAAATGCAAACACACTGAAGACTGATGACACAGTGTATGAATGTCCCAAGATGTCATCCTAAAAGAAACAAGACAAGAAACAGAGGTGTTTCATTCTCTCACAGAAACAGGACAAGGTCACGAGGAGACACAGAGCAGCTGTAAACAATCTCCTGCTACACACTGATGGGTTTCAGATGATTATGAGTAAGAGGGGTTATGCCCTGGGTCTGAATGGGGCTTTAGTAATAATACCTTCTGGTAAGACTCATGCCCACATTACATACTACACTATTGATGTTGTAGAGTTATGTAGGAAGGTCGATATCGGTCTCATGTCTGTGCGTTAAGTATGGAACCTTCAGATTAGAGAGGGCGAATAAGGTGTTTTGCTCATTAGGCTAGCTGTTTCCCTCTGTCTGCAGTCTTTATGCTAAGCTAATTGACTCCAGGCCCCAGCTTTGTACTTAACACACAATGACAATGGTACGGATGTCCTCGTCTGACTGTTGGAAAGTAAGTCATTTTTCCAAAATGTCAGTTGATTAAGTCAAGTTCGCGATCGCAGTTAAAAATATTATTGATGTCTATGAAATGGTATTCACTCAAACATTCGACACATTCTGCTGAGAAAAATAACCAGTTCATCACAGGAAAACAATTATTATCTGTATTTGGTTAGTGTCCTTTGCAGTTCTCTGATCGCACTGCTGTAGGGCACGCCATGTGTACAGTGCCACAACAAAGTCTCTGCTTCTGCTGGCACCAGTTTTACAACCTGATTTAAAGTCACTGTCTGTTACTCAATTAGGCCGCACCCTTTAATGTGGGAAGAAAAGGACTAGTTTTTTTGTTGCCTCGTTTGTTATATTGTCTTAAATGAAGTTATAATGTTAAGAGACCTTCACAGGAATGATGGAACATGAGCACTGATTTCAAAGTCACACGATATTAGTGAAGAGAACGTGGCAGCATGTGACTGTAGTCAATTGAACTGTAAAGTAAATAAAAACAAGGATAAAACAAGGATATCTGGACACTTCACACGATTTATATGTTTCTGTGGTCACGCAATTGTTAACTATCCTTTTCAAATTTCCCGTTTTATCATCTGTTTTAACAACACTTAAATACAAAGTGCACTTAAAATAAGTAAAGAAAGACCTTTAACAGATGTTTTCCCTCCTTGTTGCTCATATGGGGGCCGTATGCACATTCTGTTTCGAGGCCTGTTTTGTGGCCATGACAGCTTGCCAACAAAAATGAACTTAGATCAGCATGTCTGAGTGCAAATCATAAAGCTGCTAATCTCATCTTCTCTTCTCCTTTATGTGTCTTAAAAAAGGCATCAATTGGAATCAAATGTAAATGCTTATTCAGTGCTCTGCCTCTTTAAATGGGATATAATATACTAGATATTATCTGGTGACTGATCATTCTATCCAACACTTCAGAGCAGGATATCTTGACAACCACAGGCCAGATACCAAATGTATTTTTAATATTCATTGTCCTCGCAGGATAAACCACAGACCCCTAAAGCTAAGTTGTTGATGACCCCTGAAACCTTCACTGTAACGTAACGTTATATATTATAACGTTTACGATGGATTGCTTTTCACTGTCTATACTCATGCTCCTCTGACATTGAACCCTTTACTTTGGAAAACCAGTTTCCCTCTAGCGCTACTTTCAGGCCAAAAGGTCAACTTTGCATACACAATAGCTGACAATCTAACAGGAATACTGGGAGAAGTGCTGAGCAAATTCATGCTCTTAAGGGGACAAACTCTTTTGATTAACAGGATTGTAATACAATGTTAACTGCACTTTAGTGAAGCTCCATTATCACTACTTAGTTTGGCACATTCAGCACTTTACTTTTACATGGTTTAATGTTCATAGTGACCCCAAAATGCCTTTACAAATAAATTTTTTGGTCATTGAGAGTAGGCATTCCTCTTGTCCTTGCTTATTGTCTTTACTGAGGCAGTAAGAAGACAGTAGAGGCTAGACACTTGATGATCATTACACAGTAGAGGCACATGTCCAGAGGTGGAACTTCACTAACCACTCAACTGCATGAAATCTGATGTTTAAACATTTAAAGGCTTAGATCATCTGATTTTCAAGTAGTCTATTCTCAGGCAGCCTGGATAACATATCTGTTATTCAGAGTTGTAAATAGTCACGTTTCATTTTTTGCTCAAACACAGCATAAATTAGTTTTTTTGAGTTTGCTGAAGCGTCTTGTCAGTAGAGGCTATAAAGCTTCAGCATGCTGAACACAGCTGGAGACACGTTCACACACTCGGATGGACATAAACACATAGAGTAATAACTACAAAGCAAATGCAGCTGTTCACTTAAGTCAACTATTAATAATACATTTCTAACAATTAAATACCCTGCTACCAGTAAAGTACACACATACAAAGCTACGACAATACTTCTACGTATACACATCTGGAGATGTGGATCCCAGTTTATCTTTGTCATCCATGTCCAGCTGGATAAAGTCTGCTCTTTTCCAGTGAAACTGAATATGTAATGCTCTCTAAAGTAATTAAGCAAGAACATTGCAGATGACTGACGTAGTCTTTAATGAACAATTGTTTGTTTGAGACACATATGAATCCAGGATGGACCTCCTCAAGGCCAGCTGGTTGTAGTTTATGGGGACAAAGCATTTGTGCAACTTTGACCCTTGAGACTTCTCCACCCACCCAGCCTGGCTTGTTGGGAGAGGGGTGTAATGATCCAGAGGAGAGAAATGTAACTTCAAACTCTTTTATTCTTCTTTAGGGTGAGTCAGCACAAGATTTTCCCCTACGGTAACTACTTATTGACTGAAAAGGACCTATAATGAGTAGGTCACAGGTCTGATCCCCTAATTTGTCCCTCTATGCCACCGTGATTGCGGGCTTAAGATGTCTTTCCCTTCAGTGGGAGCCACTTTTGAGCTCTAAAATCTTTCCTGGTAAAATGTGGAGTCACAGTATACGTGTAGGTGTGTATCAGGGGGGTATAAAAAAGGACCAAAAAGGCAGTGTTCATAGTGACTGTTGGTGCAACATTTGCACATGCCATTATCACAGATTGAATCCAATATGTCTGTCAGGTCTGCATATGATGAGATTTCCATGTGTATCTGTGTGTATTTTTTGGCAGGCATGACATGATTTCTAATGGAAGTAATGCTCTACTCGAGAGGGTGTGTGTGCTTTCAAAGGCCTGAGATGAGGTGGGGGATCGGCAGAGCAGCCCACAGGGTCCTGTAGTGCTGTCAGAGTCAGCAGGAGGTTTCCTGTTTAAGCATGTCTACCTAGGTCTATTCCAAAACCCAACTCACCGCAAGACTGAGGCGGCATGGATGCACAGAGACTCAATTATTCTATGTTCTGTTCATTCCTCATACAGGTCTCACTCTCAGAGGCCTGAGACCACATCATATGAAAGCACATACAGATGGCTGGCACGGTACAACTGAACATTTTGTGTAGATTGTATTGTCCACATCTGGTAGAGAAATGTGTGGAAGCCAACAAAGAAGAACATTCAGTCATGTCCTACAAGTGCCAACATTTAAATATACTGCTCCTACTGCAGACCTTAGTTTCATTTTTTAAGAAAGTGCTCCACCTACAGGCAGGAAAAGGGAGTTTCAAGAAGTGACAAAGTTGAATGTTTCCATATCAAAGTTTATTGCTGACATGCATGTAGAGATCTGATGAAGTAGAAAAATATGTTTTTTATACAAACGTGTTTTTCATCTGTACAATTACGCAGTTTTCTGTATCTAGATGCCCATGTCCAACCAAGCAGCTTACAACACATTATCCCATTGGGTTTAAACTTCACCACGTTTCATATCCTACACCAAGTTTCCAGTTGAAACAGTCAGCAATATATAGGTTATATACTGAAGACTTAGGACTTTAGAAGCAGGGTGAAAATCATCATAAAAACTGAACTTTTGAAAATTAACAATAACATTTTTACTAGTCATCCAATTAATGGGTATATCAACTTAGCTTAGTAGTTTCCTGTAAGACCCAAAGGAGTAAATTATCTTCAAATCGTCTATCGGTTGGCACACCTTGCGAGTTTAAAATCATGCAACAGTCACATGTTTTACACAGAGTTTAACCTCACACTATTTCCATGCTTTTCAGTCCAAGTCAATACAACTCTGTAAAACAAACATTGAATGTGGTACAATCCACTAGCTAGAAAGTGAAACACTTCTTTGATAAGGGGGGGAAAATAACATCTACATCAAGGGTCTACTGAACCTGTAATTACTAATCCGTAGTTGGGGCGCCATGGAAGATGACTTAAAACACTTTCCACAGACGATCACTTAATGTCAGTATTTAGTAATGGCTACGGTGTTCATGAAACACCCTTTTCTGATGAATCAATCTAGACTACTACAATACTGCTGCATACCCATGGAATTCACATTGAGGTGGGAGAAAGCTGACAGCTCTCTTTACATATTATTTTAGCCTCTGGATGTGGTGGTTGATGGCCAACGTGGCCCATAATGCACGTCAATCGACATGTGTTGAAACAGAGTTGGTATCTCACTGGGTGAAACTACATACAATATGACTAGCGCAGTCATGGTGGTACATATTTACATACTGACCAGAGAGTGCAGCCTTGTGTGGGGATTTTTGGGGGGTTAATGATAGAACAAAAAAATAAAAATAACACACACAACAAAAACCCTCCTTTAAATCAAGATAATGTATCATTTTGTTTTCTGTAAAAAATAGAACTATGCAAAAGTCAGTCTTGTTATTAGTGTAGCTTAAGTTGACCACAGAGTTTGTGGCAAAATGGCAAGAAAATTATTTAGGAATCCAAGATGGAAAACACAAAAACAGATGCTACTCTTTCATGAATGTGGCTAAAAAAAAGATCAAAACGAGAACCACAGTTCGAATTAACACTTCTTAAAGCTGAGAGCGCGATTTGGGGCCTGTTTCACTGGCATAAGTTGTGCTTAGTCTTAGAAGATATTTCATTTAAAAAAAAAAAAAAAGGACATTTGACAGACAACCATCAACGTCTGTGATACAAGCCCCTGTGGTTTGGGGGTTTCGGGGGGGGCTACACAAATGAATAAATAAATCAACATGAAATTACAAAGAAAAAGAAGATGTAAAGTAATTTTAAAATATTCCAGAGCCTATGTTCATGCAATCAGTCTGAATATAAATAGGAAGAAGTCTAGATAGCCTAAAGCAGGTACCAATACGCAAAGGCAAGTTGCAGTGTACAGATGCCTAACAGTCACTGGTTAGTAGCTTTGCCATGGTTTTGAAGAAACCCTTTGATAAAAGAGAAGAAAGCATCAATAGCCAAGAAGACCCAGCAACTAAACTTAAAACCTATGAGTCTGTATTTTCATTTCTCTATGAAATACAACAGTATCGATTACCAGCCACCAACTGGCCTCTCTGTATCGAGAGCCGACATGGTGAGATAATACAAGCATGTACAAGTTGAGCTAGAGAGAGGGCTTGAGAATGGCAATAGATATGTGATCTTTCCCAATCTTAAGCAAGCATTCATGGCAATCGCTAAAACATTCAGTCAAGCCCTGTCTTAGCAAAGCCTGCTCTGGTTTTCACAGTGTCTGCCACTGAGGCAGGCCAGATAATAGAACACAATGATTGGAGGATAGCTTAAAGGGTCTGTGACTGTCAGAGGTTAACAGCTCGACAGCTCTGCAGACCCTTACTTTGCCTGGCCCGAAACACACACGTACACACTCATGGATCCTGCAGACGTATCAAAGCGTAGAATGACAGTTCACATTCATACTGAAAAAAAAAAAAAAAACTTGTCCCATGATCTGTCTTGGTAAAGAGAAACAGGGAAGTTGGAATACCTGGAAGCCATTTGATTCTGAATGAGGCTGTGGGTACCAGTTTCCTTGGCTAAGAGTAATTTTAAGACATGATTTTTGGCAATAGAAACATGACAGTGCCTGATCTTCACTATAATGGCACTGAGGAAGCGTTACCATCAATATGCCTTGGCAGGGAGGATCCAACAGTTTTTCCCATTCAGTTCTTGGCATTGTGACTTCCAGGTACCTCACACTAGCTGCCTAGATGCTAAAAATAGATTTGCACAGGGATGAGCAAAAGCAGGAGACAATGCATTCTGCAAATATCAAAGGATGCATGTTCACATACTTTGATATTCAGTATCTTCAATTTAAAGGTAGGGATAAAATGCTACTTATTAAGGTAAATAAAGATAAAAAGCTTATTCAGATTTTTCGAAACCCCTGAAAAGGTTTCAAAGCATTATCACTGACAGAAAACATTAATGCTTTATGTCACTGGTGGCATCAAGACTCCATTGTTACAATCCCTTGTCTCAGAACAGTGAGCATGGTTTACCAACAGAGAAAAGAGACAGAGAGGTAGATTGATTTGAAGTCAGAGTTACAGACAGGACGAGTCTGGATCATTTTCGATACAGGAAAACAGTAGAAAGGAAGAAGGAGTGAGAGGACGAGGGTGGAATGGAGGTATAGAGAAGTGACATCTATGATCAGTTGATCTGACTTGAGGCAATACCATTAACCACTAGGAAGAGAAGGGGTTGCTACATGATTCTGGTCCTGTATTGCTCAGGGGATCCAGAGTTGATGGGGAAAGTGTTACAGTAGGGAGATCTCAAAGGAGGAGGAGGAATATGGGGTTAATCGTCTCTTCAACACTCCAGGCATAGCCTTGTGTTAGCCCCATATGTGACTGTGCCATCAGGTTGGTTGCACAGTGAGATCTGACTGTGGGTGACCTGAGGGGAAGGAACCTTTGGTTCAGATCTTCCTCCAGGGCTTACCATGTTTCACTGGAGGGACGAGACATGAGGAGTGAAGTTCTAAATTGGCAGTTTGTTCTGGTGCCCTCCTCATGCTGGCTCCAACTAGGTTGCCTAAAGCCCACCTACAAATGGGGCCATCTGTACCCTGGTTCGGGCTGGGCCTCCTGTATGCAAGTTTAGTTTTTGGGCTGACCCTCCTCAGTCCTCTCTGGACTTCACAGGACTCTGTACTCCCTGGGGAGGTCAGAGAGGCTGAGATGGGTGGGTTGGGGACTACTTCCGGAGGAAACGTTGTGCCAGGATGGCAGCATCTAGCGGGCTGACAGGCTGGGCATCGTGGCCCAGACGCCTTACAGGTGGGATACTGCCAAACTGGCGTTTGGTGAGAAAGCTCTTGGCCTCATGGATAGTGTTCTTCTCTTCAGCCAACAGCAGCTGCTGGCGCATGTAGTTCTCAAACTCGTACTGTGAAGACTCTTCTATCACCTTGGCCTGAGGGAAGAAAATATATTCTGTTCAATGTGCTGCAACATCTGAGCTGACTGAAATAAACATGTTTTCTAAGTGCATCGGAAAGTAATATAAACATGGGGTAAAATCATAGGAAAAAGGTACATTATAGCAATCTATTTCTATTGTTGCACATAAATGCATCTCAGTTTTAGGTAGCTGTATTTTGGTTACTATGCAACAATATTTTGTCCAAAAAGCTCCATATTTAGATCTGTGATGTCATATTTCGCCAATAATTTACCTCTTGCAGATGTTCTGGGTGATTGACCTGATCGTCAATATCCGGCACCACCTGCAGGGGGCCACTCAACGATGAAACAGACTGCCTGTGATTAGGAAAACACAACAAGGATGAAGATTAACAACAGTGAGCGTGTCAGTTTGAAATGACCTATGTGGAATCACTGTTATTTTTCAAACATCCAGAAGGGGGAGCAATTACCATGAGGCAATGATGACACTGAGTGACTCCAGCACCTCTCCTGCAGTAAGCCTCTGCTGAGGGTCCAACACCAGCAGCTTTCGGATCAGGCACACCGTGTTCTCAGACACACGACCGTCCCTGCGAGGGTGTGGAGGAGAACGGGAAGGGACAGTTTCATTTGCTAAATCTGACTGTAAGTCACAAGTCCACAAAGCCACTATTGAAAGTAAGCAAAAATATTTGGTCAAAACAATGATTCATTTAGTTTTAGGGGAAATCTGGCACAATGTCTGTCTGTCTACAATTTTATTGTGTGTTGCAGAGTTCTGAAAGAATTAATAGAGAACAAACAGTTGATTGAAAATAAACAGAAAACAGAAAATTGTGTGATTTAAATTTTTCAGAGCAGTTCGATTCCATTTCTTTGAATGAATGTCCACCACATCTCACGTGGACAGGACAAGCACTCACTCTGGGATGGAGTACTCTGCAGCCTTGATCTTACGGAAGAGCTCTTGAGGTATGCTGTCATAAAAGGGGAACTGGCCATACAGCATGGTGAACAGGACCACGCCAAGAGCCCACATGTCGCTGGGTTTACCACGGTACGGCCGACCTGGAGACAGGAACGAGAGGGGATCAGGATCAGTGAGATCAACAAATGTGGCATTTGCAAACGGTGACAGCAGAGTGCTTTGCTATGCTCCAAAATCAGATAAGACGGAGGTTGAAATCAACATTTGTTTAGTGCAATGACAGTTTTTGCCCTGTGTGATTCAGGGATGATTCACCACAAGTTCAATTCATGTCAAGTCACCTGGTCTAATTATTAACAAGATGAGCAAACACAAACAAAGACTCCATATCCATCATATTTCCAGCACACTGCTGACTTTTTAAAATGGAAGCGCTGTTTTTGTTAATGAGCCATTGAATCAGCCGTCGATGGGCAATGAATAACTGGAGCTGGTGAGGGTGGAGCATCATTGCTGTGTATGACCATAGGCTGTGTTGTTATAGCCAAGCAGGCGGTAGCAACAGCAGCAGGCAATTATGTTAAAGCTTTTGACACACACACACACACACACACACACACACACACACACACACACACACACACACACACACACACACACACACACACACACACACACACACACACACACACACACACACACAGAGAGAGAGAGGATGGGGGTAGATGGGAGTAGTTTCCCTCCAGTGAGTCATCAGTGCGTGAGTCACTGAAGCTCTGTTTAATTGTGTGCCTGTCACGTTATGCTGATATACACACCCGAGTTTTATCTACGGTTTGAGTGGTTGGAGATGAATGATTTCTGTTTGAAATTTTTCTTCTTAATCTTGTACGCTGTCCAGGACGAAGTTTTGGAAATCAATGTTTAAAATGGACGGAAGTGGGGTCTACAATGGAAGTGCATGCTCAAGCATCATCTTGATCGGTGTGTGGCACTTGGGTCTGCACATTTACTCTAACAAGTGAGACAATAAAAATGGATTTCTGCTTTTTTCAGACAAAGAAAATGTACTACACAAAGAGTAAAGTAGCTTCCTCTGCAGACACATACCATGAGAAAATGCAACTTCATCGTGATTACACAAACAAAGATAGAAAAAAAAGCTATTCCTAGCCAGTCCGAGGTTGCAACATAGCCTCTTTCTTGTTGCCTAATAACCGGAAAATCAAACGCAAGACTGACTGCTTAACGTTACGCAATTATCTTTAAAAGAATCCCAGTATCCCACCTGGACCCTGATCAACAAGGGTCCCCCTGACATTTTGGGGAAATGCATTGGACCATTGCATCTGTCATTTGCAGTTAATGCATTTCACAACCCTATTTCTCATCTAGAAGTGGACAGTGGCAAATCTGAGAAAGTGGGGAAGGTTTTCACACCTGTGCACACACATCAGTCGCCACAGAAACAGGTGTGACTCTTGGATTGTCGGTTTTTGAAAGTGACAAAAACTGGGTGATGTTGGCACGCAATGACCGAATGTCAAAAAGGAGCCTTTCAGCACTTTGAAAAGCACCTTGTCTGATGTAAACATTGTCCTTAAAAAAAAAACAACAAAAAAAAAAACCCATCTGTTTTTCACTCACCACTTAATACGTCAGGGCTGATGTAGGCCGGACTTCCTCTCTGGTCTTTCAGCAGGTCGTCCTCGCTCACCAGGTGCTTTCCCAGGCAGAAGTTGGTGATGGTGATTCGGTGAGTCCTGTAACCACACAAACATACAAATGCACCTGTTAAATACACTTCTGATTCTGAATTCAACAATGATCTAAATGCACACCCTTTAATTTCCTCATACAAGTAATAGCCAAACAGCCTTACTCATTGTAACAAAGGCACGTCTACAATGTGAAACACTGCACACTCACAGCTCAAAGCATGAAGTAAAGACACGCTCACTGAGACAGGGAGAACTTGCTAGCATGCCTTGTTGTTTTAATAATTTCATGGTTCACTGGAGCTTAAAAATACATCAGCATCTGAAGACTGGCAGATGCAGAACAGAGTATGCACACCCTTTCTTATTAAAGTCGCCCATCTACTTATCTTAGACTTGCAGTTAAGAAGAAGCAGAAGATATACTTTATAAGAAGTGTGTTTTCTAATTTTTAAAGAATTCAACACAAGATTCATCATTTCACGTACTGACCAGGATCTTAAACTGTCAGGAGGTTTCCCTGTCCACATGATGTTCCCACAATTTCCACACAATTTATGGAGATCCTTGTTTGTTATCTGTTGCACTGTTCCTCAGTAGCAGCTCATATATTATCTATTTTTACACATGCATGTTGAACTCCTGGAAAGACAGTCATCTATATTGCTTAAAGTCTAAGCTCACGATAAGGGAAAACCACTGAGAACCTTTGAAACTCAGATAATAAGTTGATTGCGCAAAAAGTTATCAGGAAGATGTCCTACATATATGGCATATACTACAACAAGTATATAAGTGATTTTAAAGCATCAACTTTAAAGAAAGCAATCTGAAATCCGTGGGCGGAGCAGTCCATTAGTCTCAACTCCAGATGAGTGTTTTTGTCATGAGGGCCTCTTAACTCTAAGGCACCATCCATTTAGAGGTGGGCGATATATATCGTTTGCGATTTTGCGATCATTGTTCTTTTGACAATATGCAAATTTCCATTATCGAGTATTTAAATTACTTCGCCAAAAATACTGAAACGCACGCGGAAACTCCTCACATCCACTTAATACACGGTGCAGCAACGCTCTCTACAGCATGGCAGGATTCAGTCACACGACTAGTGGGCTTACGTGATCACGTGCCTAGCATCCTCCTTGCAACAGTTTAGCAGCGCGTTGTGATGGTAGAGAGAAAATGCAAGCATCTCCAGTCCCTGAAGCTACCGGTACTTCAGATGATTTAATGCCGAGACGTGGGTCTACCTCTCTGGCATGGGAATGGTTTGGTTTCGAAAAGACTTTTTTTTAGCGCAGCGCTCTGAGCTCTTCAAGTTGAAAACTGTTCAACTTTTAACACCGTGGGCGCTCGGAAAATGAGTTTTTGAGCGCTATCCGCGCTAAAAACGCGTTTGGTGGACACAAGCCCTAACTCAGACAATTCCAATCACATTTTAAAGGATATCGACTGATTATCGTTATCGCCAAAATAACGAGATATTATTTTTTGCCCATATCGCCCGCCCCTACCTCCATTAGGGGTTTATTTTAGATAAATCTCTCTTAAATGTGAAATTGTCATTATATAAATGTATTATCAACTACATCACTGTGTTAGCCAATGGCCATCTTCATACATCAGACATTAGGAGAACAAGAACACTCCAGACACACTGGCGCTTCAAAGTCTAAGAAGACCCACTGCTGTTACCAGGGATGTTTGATTAATTTGGTTTCTGTGGAAATAATGTGGCACTATAGGACTTTTCTCTGAGTCATCAAGGTAAATTTAGTTTGCCTGTGGTGGAGTGAAACCAAACAGTGTTAAAGCCGAAGGACTATGAACTGTTCTATATCTCTGTGTTCTTTTAGCAGAGAAAGAGAAAATAAAAAAGCCGCACTTTGACAAACATATGAGTCAACCTGTGGCTTGGGATAATTGTCTCGATGACTCAGCCGGCATGTTGATGGGCTGGCAAATGAATATATAAAGCTCACGAAGATTTAAAATATGTACACAAACGCGCAACTTCAAGTGCACCCACACAATCACTCCCATGGTGAACACACACACACACACACACACAAAAATGCACTCAAAGCACATGAGCGCACACAAAAGCCATGGTCTAGAGCCTGGGTCCTCTCTGGATCATGCTCCTCACCCACATCCGCTTTCTAAAAAGCCTGAGGTCAAAAGCTTCCCCTATTCTCTCTCACTTTCACACCCTGCTCCATCACACACACTCACTGCTCCCATAACAGCGTCTGGAGCCAATTTCTGTCAAACACTCAATTTTCAACCAAATGCTCCAATCTCAACCTTCCCTTAGAACATTCAGTTCACATAATTTCCAGCTACTTATGTCATCCAACCCTTCAACAGCTTTGGTGATCCAATTCTCTATAACCATACAGTGGTCTTCTGACAGGCACAAAGATGGGCCAGAGGAACAGAGTGCAATGCTTCAAGGACCCTCAACATAAAAGCTTCCTTTATGAAGAAGTCTGTTCTTTTGTCTGTGTGCATCACGACCCAGGCTTCTATTCTTGCACCGGAGATTGGGTAAATGAAATTGCATGTTTGCCTCGTGAGGCAAGGGTCCCTGAGGACTAAAGAGAGACCACACCATCTCTGCTTCCTGGTCATGTGACTCCGGGTAAGTCAGGAAACCAGAAACCTAAACAGCCCCCTTGACTTCTCCACCCTACCCACAACATTTTGCTGAAAATATACCAGCTGACGAGAACAGAAAGAGGTTAAACGCAGGGCAACTTCTACAGAGATCAGCAAATTTCATTTCTCAGAACTGTGAGGAAACAATTATATTAGTTATATTAAGAGCTAAGCTTTACTGGAGCAAATGTTTTTGTCCTAATTTCTGAGGCTGAATACGTTATTTTGTGCCAGACAGCACAGAACTTCTAATTCAGTCAGAAGGAGTAATCCATCCCTGAGACTATACAGTGATTATGGTGATATAAACTAACAGGAACTCTCTGCAAGAAATAAAAACAAAAAGAAGACAAAGTGTCCCTTTAGAATTACAATTAATATTTACAAAGTCAAAACCAGCTCTGACATACATTGATAACAAACCCGCATATTGATTTATGACGTCCTGCTTTCATAACAGCTGGCTCCGCAAGAGGAAATCACATCATTCTTGCATTAACTGCTGAGCTTGTTGATGGCATCGGTGCATTTCCCAGAGCGACGACAAGCAGCAGGGGAGGAGAGGGGATTTTGGGATCGGCCAGCATCTAAATTGGCCACGTCCTTCCCATACTGACTGTACATTCGTATGCATCCAGGGTGGAGTAACAGAGGAAACATGCAAGCAAGCAAAGCATGATGCATAAAGGAGACAGGAAAAGTGAAAAGAAAAATATATGACAAAAAGAAAGACAATGAAAGCAGGAAAGGGATTGGGGTGTAAAAGAAAATAGAGGAAAAGCAGAGTAGAGGGTAAATAAATGATGACTGTGTGTGCATGTGTATATATGTGTGTGTGACGATCATTGCGGTGTGAGTCAGCTCTGAGCTATGGGGCCTTTGGCAGGCCTCTCCTTTGTCTCCAGCTGGGACGGAGTGTTCCACTCGCCTGCTCCTCGCCCCGCCACCCTCCCCTGGCCAAAACACTCTCCTGTTTCATCACCACCACTACTGCTACTACTGCTGCCCTGCTGCCGCTGCCGCTGCTGCTGCTGCTGGTAGGGGCACCAAGCTCTCACGCCTGACATGCAGAGTTTGTATGTAGTAAAGAGATAAGCTGGCAACGTGACATCTCAATGCACATACTCAGACATGCATATCACGCATGAGAAGTGTGAGATTACACTCAAGCAAGCATGCTTGATGTTTAGATGTCAAGGTGTGTGTGTAAGCAAGCGTAGGAACAGAGGGTGTAAGTGTGTGTCGGTATGTGTGTATCGGTGTTAGTCATGTCCTTCCAAATGAAAAGACTGCCTTTGTGGGATGATTATCAGAGTCCCCAAGAATGTGCACGCTGACTTGTGCTGTTCAGAGACATCCTTCCATAGGTTCAAGGCAAAATCTAGCCGAATCCTCTTAACTTGGACAAACTAATATTAAAAAGCAAGTGGCTTTCAACCCCTCAAATACACACAAACACCATCTCTCTCATTTACTCTGTACGTATTGTTCGGAGAATGCTTTACATACAAGTAGTTTTCCATGCTGCAGGGCCGAACTGCAGCACTCTGTGACCTGAGGTGCACTCACCAGGGTCCTGTGTGTGCTACAACACTGCTCCCACCAAGAACAAAGCAGTGGCATATTCTTTGCCCTGTTTTGCACCAGGGTACAGTTCACCCTACACTTCCAAAAATCCAACCATGGGGAATGATCAGCTTTTTCTAAACACACAGACACAGACCCAGACTCATGCACAAGAGAGCAAGGCTTTAGGTTCCTAAAACTGATCTCACTCCAAGTCTGAGAATGTGACCCTGCTTGTGTTTAAAGCCAAGTGCACACTGGATACAGGCTGCTAGGGCCTCTCACACATGTGAGCTGAGACAGAATGACTTACTGGCAGGCTAAAATGACTGAGTCTGTATAATGGGAGAGGCTATTGGCCAGCTAACTGATTGATGAGGCCGAATGAGTTTCTTCTTACCGTTTGTTCAGCACCATGTTTCCCAGCTTGAGGTCTCTGTGCACAATGTTTTTCTGAATGCAGGAAAGAAAGACAAGAGGGAAAAGAAATGTTTTCATTAAATCGTACTTAGGGATAATCATTGGTATCAAAACAATCATTTTGTTTGTGGCACGCAAGGATGGGAGATGAGTAATCAGAAGGGATTTACAACTAGCTAACAATAACAATTTCTAAGCTATTTCTCCTACAGTTGACAAAAACACTGTAGTATTGAATATTTCTTCATGAATGAAAATAGAAAACTGCACGTTCATATCGCCTTTCATGCACACTGTTGGTTAGTACGATAGATTTCACCTTTTAAGCACATTTTCTTGGAGTAGTCTAATCAATTCAAGCCTAGACTCACCTTATGAAGGGCCTCCACCACACGCACCACATCATAGAAGATGACGATTGCCTCGCGCTCGCTTAATCGCTTCTCCTTTATGACGTAATGCTGGAGGTTTATTAAATCTGCGGTCTTGTCGCTGAAGTCGTGAGCACACAGGCAGTCCAGCACGAGGCAGATCCGCTTCTTCATCTTGCGCACTTTGTTGGCCTCCATGTCCTCTACTATTTCATAGGCTCGGTCCTGGGGAACAACAACAAAAAAGGTGCTTGCTTTGTAAGTGGACTTGTTGATGCCTTTTTGAGGCACTTTCCAACAGCGTCAAAACAATACAAGTTGAGGCTTGCAAGAATGCATTAAACTGAACGGATTCCCAACTATACTGTCTGATCAAGCTGATTCATTCAGCTTGAGAAAGACATAGATTCAAGCAAGCTGGAGGACATCAATCACCAGCATGCATGTAAGACACATCTACCCCTCCACATCAAGTGGTGGACGGCGAATTACAAAGGTCATTGCTCTTCTTCCAACTCCAGTCGTAGCACAGTCACCACTTATTGATTTCTGTATCAGGTTGTCAGTTCTTTTTTTTTTTTAGATGCAGTCAGCACCTCTGAAAGTGTACATTATTAACTGGTTCTCTCACAGTGGAGATGCACTATAATAATCCAATCAATATTGCAGGCCTAAATGAATCAGTGTGCATGGCTCATTGCTGCTATTCTGAGAACACCGGCAGAGTGGAACAGACAGGATGTGAAAGAGAGACAAAGGAGAAAAACACAAGAGAGAGGGGGAGAGAGAGAGAGAGAGAGAGAGAGAGAGAGAGAGAGAGAGAGAGAGAGAGAGAGAGAGAGAGAGAGAGATGGAACAATAACAAAGTTAGAGGAGGAGGCAGACGGGAAGACAGGTGAGGGAGGGGCAGCTCATTGTGAATGGATGGGGCTTTGAATAGAGAACGACTGCAGATAAATATGGCCTCTTAATGGTACTCCCACTTCTCTATTGAAACAACTCTGATAAGGAAAATGCAAGCAGCTGGCTGGACTAATGACAAGCTTACCTCTGCTATCACCGAGCTGATAAAAACGTACTGTTACTTGTGCTTATGTGGTGAAGCCATATTCTGAACTGAATAAAAAGTGGCATTATCTTCTCCATCGTAATATTGATGTATATTTCATGTGCAATTACACAGAATACTCGCCCACACAGTGCTGAGTAATACACCACAGACTATAAGAAACTTTTTTTTAAATTATTAATTATTTGACTGATGATACACTATGCAGAACAGAAATGTAACTTAATTGCCAAACGTGTGCAGGTCTAAGTCTACCTGGAAGAGGCCGTGATGGTGAACCACCCCATCCTGGTTGTGCAGCAGAGAAAGAAGGGAATATTCTGTGTGCAGCAGCATCTTCCCCTGCCTCTCCTCCTGAGTCTCCCCAGCAGAGTCCACTCGCTCCTCCAGCGTCAGTATCTGCCATAGCCACACAGAACAGAGAAAACATTAGAGGTCAGACAGGATGAGACAGCACAAAGGAGAGATTTAACCATTTAGTATGAAGTTAATCTTCAGTCCTGCCACTAAAGCTTTTAAATGACCAAAGACATGACATTAAGTTACTGTTCTGATAAGCATTTAACAAGATGTTACGATCTGTGCAGTGGAGATGGCATAACAGGGCTGCAGCTTTAAAACTGTGGTTCATATACTAATGTGAAGTAACCAAGCTGTGCAGCAGACACTGAGGCGCTGGAGTCATGGGTATGAGGGGAGGGTCACGCAGTGACTCACTACCACCCCCCCCCCCCCTTGTGTAACAGACATTGGATAGCCCCAATAAACAGATTGCCAGGCTGAGGTTTTGTTATTTGCACCAGACTGAAACAGGGGGCTATAAAATGAACACCAACAAAGGAAGGTCAAAGGTTCAGATGTCTACTGGGACATCATAGCTTTGTTTTGAATGATTTTCTCTTTTTTTTTTTACTAAACAGCGTGTGTAACTCATTACGTTTGTGAGTAAGAAAACCACAAAAAAAACTGTGCCAACCCGGCAGACTTACTTTGAGCTGATAGAAGTCATCAGTGCCGTCCTTTCTGGCCAGACACTGCACTATGCTAGGCACTGGTGAGTTGCCCAGGCGAGGCCCTGCAAGGATAAGAAAAGGAACAGCTGCATGACCAAAAGGCAGGCTACATGCCGGAGTGTGTGCTCTCACTGCAACTCATTAAAGGCTGCATGTGCACGTACCCATTAACACTCCAAGTGTAATGTTTTCTTTGACACTGTGATTTGCAAATAGTGGAGGAGTTGTGTAGTAGAAAACATACAAGTTTGAGTGTATGGGAGAGAAATACATTTTCCAGAGGGAGGAAATAACCTTGCTCCAACACAGACTCAGACCTTTCTGGCCGATGTCAAGGGGGATAAGCAAAATTCTTCACATTCTTGTCTCAGGCTCGCATGCACACAGAGACACCCCACGACTCTCACATTTACACACATACCTTTCCTGACTAGTGCAAATACTAGTAGCTTCCTTACCAAGGATGAAGGGCCCAGCTCTCTTGGCGTTATTACCGGATATCCCAGGACATTGCAGCTTGCTGGCCCTGCCTGATGTCTCTCCAGCCCCCCTCTCCGACGAGCGCCGCTTGGACATACTGGAGTTCTGGAGGGGAATATATCGGATTAGTAAAACTTGCATAAATGTGACTGCAAGGAAATAAACCAATAACAAAAAAAATAGCATCAGTAATCTGTTACCAAACAATGGTTTTATAAATAGTCAGCTTAAAAATAAAGACTATACCCAGAGTTTTACCAGCAGTCCTACAGACTGGTTGAGAGGGCACTTATTAGTGAACAGAAGTGAAAGGAGGTAAAAATTCAGGGCAACTCCCCCCAGCCTAGTTTAAATATCCCTCCCACACATTTACCGACACCTCAGTGTGAATGTGAGGCCATTACAGCTCCATTCAGAATGATGGCTGCTGGCGTCAAGGGTGACACCTCAGATTCAATTTTCAACCCAACAGGCAATGTCAATGTGCCACAATTTGTAATTTAAATGGCAAATGCTTTCTTGTAAATGAATAGCACGAGCATAAAACTCTTGAAAACAGAGGCCTTTTTTATTTATGCCTCACCACTGAACCACATATTCATCTTTAGCTTTTCCTGCTCCAGTTGACATGGGTTTAGAAAATCCTTCCGCCTCTAATCTGGGTGTTTTATCTCAAAATCTGTACAGCCGGCTTATCTGCAGCGGCCTTCCTCTGAAAGGACATGCGTGTTCCAACAAGGCAGAGACAAAAAAGATGCCAAGCCCTTACACTATGATAAGGAACTAGATTCACATGTCAGAAGAACCAGTGACACAGTATGACACATCATCATTACACAAACTATTTTAACTGCCACAGCAGATCTACCTCCCAGAATTCAGAGAGCAAGAGGTATGCTTTGTTTACTGATACTGAGTTCCAATGTGATGAAACCCCATCTGTTTCCCGTAACAGGGAAGTAGTGCCTTGAACCGAGAGGAATGATTCACCCTTCTGTCGTCCTGGGTTTCCATTGGACAGAAATGCTAAAATGTCTAGGTGATGACACCAATAAGAGCGTGAAATGTACCCCCAAGCCTCTGACATGTGCTCCATATCAACTGAAAAAAAATAAAAATAAAAATCACTTCATAAGCTCGGCCCACAAGGAAGGCAACACAAAGTGACATATCGGAGGTAAAAGGGTCACTGACTGATAGCGGTAGTGTGCATATTTTAGCCAACTACATAAGGAGAGATGATTCAGACTAGGCTAATAAAATCCAAAGCACCTCATAAACACAGCAAAATAGACATATATTGGAGAGCTGACAAACACCAAAAAACTTCAGAATATGTAACCACTCTTGCAAGTGGTACAAACTAGAGAAGATAAATATTTTTAATGAATCAGGCCAATACTTCCTGTCTCAAAACTAATCGTGCAGCACTCGCCAGTTGGCGTTTTTGGGCAGAGAGGATGCAGGACAGTTGGCAGTAAGCATGGGCTGATATGAATTCTCACTTCCATGAGGCTTTTTGTGATCCCAGACAGCAGACAGTGTCATCATCATGTCTCTCGCCCATCTGTCTCCATCTCCACTAGTCATCACCCACTGAGTCTGATGAGCTGAGGTTTTCTGACAGCATTTATGGCACAAGCCAGAGTGACACCAAGTCACGCTGCCAATAGTAAGAGAGCATCTTACTCTAGAGCACGAAAGGCAAAGGAATGGATAATCCAGCGGCCAAAGTGGTTGGCAGAATTGACAATCTACATACTGCTTTCAGTGCTGTCAGATAAATACATTTTAAATTGGTGTTTGAGTGCTAGAAAGGCTGCCAGACTTAATAAAATAAGCAGACAGAGCCAAACCTAACAGGCTTTTAATTTGTGGCCAATTCCCACATTTCTAACAAGGTTATCTGATCGTACCTTGTATGCATTTCTTTTCTCCACAGCTACACAGTCAAGAGTTAGAACCATGCTGAACCATGCTAATCCATGCACCTTGGACTTAAAACACTAACCTGACTCACAGACACAAACTCGCTGCACGACACACAGCGAACGGACCCAAGGCTATCCATCTACCTACTAAACACCAGCTGTAGTGCCGTGGAGCCAAACCCCGACACATATAAAAGCAAAGGTCAATGCAACCAACTAATGTGCACTGACCTAAATGACATCAGCGCAATGACAGCACACAGCTATCCTTTTCTGACACTGCTGAGCCTCTCTGCACAGCCAGTGATCTGGCAAGCAAGACTGCCTCTGACTGCCTCTGCCTCTGACTGTACCAGAGGGAGGACAAGAACAGATACAGCCTGTGAATCATATCACACAAAAGGAGGAGAGACACGCTGCCGGTGCCCACGAGAAATGTGGGCTCCTTAAATAGTATCAGAACAAAACAACCACGTAGGTGTCTCAAGATCCACCCACTCAGACTCCATGCTACTTGTCTGGCTCTGCAAGAACAGCTTGATTGCAAAATCAAGGTAGTATCAGGATGGACAAAGAAAACATAAGGACACTTGAGGAGGTAGTAAACATAAGTGCATACCAAAATCTGGGGCAATCATACAGGTAACGAGGTATCATCCAAAAGAGCTAAAGCCACTGGAAGGTCATACGCGCTTTAATCCTGCTTATGTTGCTTGAATGAGATGTCAATCAATCATGTCAGCCCATACACACATCTACCGCTATAACGCCTTTCCTCTTACTGCAGTTGTTCACTACATTATTGCAATAACAACATCCAAAACTAGTCTGTGTACACAAGGTCAAAGTATAAATACCTAGACGCAAATAATTACAAATGCACACAGACTGTCACACATTGTTTGGTGCCATTTTGCGACCACAAGGTCTGGACACCGCTCAGGTCTGGCAGCGAATGGTTAAAAACGCTGACGTTATGCCTTACAACTTGTGCAAAACCTGCCCCACAGACAGCTAATAACTTGAGTAACCAGGCGCTAATGTGTTTTACCCACAACAATTACCATACGACCACCCAGGGACATTTAAAAAACACACACTAAACCGCATTACACGGCGTGCGTTAATGTAGAGAAAGTCTAACTGAGGTGGTTATTCAGCCAACTAAATGAATAGCAAACGTACACATTAATTTAACGATGTATATTTACGCAGGGCAACATGAAACAAAGCTTGGGTGCATATACAAACTTAGTACAACAACAACAAAGCTGACTGAATTCCTCGGCTAAACACGCTACCAAAAGCTTCAGGCACACCGGCCACACAAAGGGGCACAACACAGCAAGGAGTTGGGCTTTCGGTGCAAACTACACAGAGCAGCCGTTAGCCAGGCTACGGTTACTTTAGCGAGTATCCTTATGAGCAAGAGAGTTTTCAATGTGATTGCTGGCGAGCGACATTAACATCGCTAACGCCAAAAGCCGGAGGCTACAGAGCAGCCGGGAGGCCATTTAAACAAAGTAGGTAACATTACAGCTGGCTAGCCTTGCCAGAGAGCTAGATAGCAGTGTTAGTCGCTACCTCGCTTACCTCGAGCCAAAACCGCCGGGTAAAGTCTGCGTTGTCTGCTTACAACCTCGACATATCTTGGGTAAACGCTGTGGTGGATGTGCGGAGCTTCTCACTTAAACAGGAGAGACCACAGTGGGTTGGTTTCGGGTTGTTTAGCCTCTGTTACCGAAATGAGCAATTAAGGAAAAGCCTCCGCTCTTCGCTGATCGCATCTTTCCACAGCGACAGCGCCACCTGACAACGGAAATGACGCACATACTTATTTGATTGACAGCTGCGTTCGACCAATGCCAGCCCCCTGCCTGTTTTTCCTAGTAAATGGTTGCGCACTGATGATGAAATTCTTTGCATAATATAAGTTGCTAAATGAAACACATTACGTCATAGTTGTCTGCATGGGAAGAGTTTGAGACAGTAAAACTAAGTTGAAGTGGAAATACCGCGGTCGGTTTGTTTGCTAATAAATGCCCTGGTCTCATGGATAAGACTAACCATTCTAGTGGTGAAACATTTGTCAGACACCATAAAACTGCATTACAAACTAAAGTTTTTAATCATCATCCAACCAGAAGTAATCAGAAATGAAGGAACTTTTCAACATTTGTATTATTTACTAGTCTATTAGTATTATGTCTAGCCCTTGAATTATAATATAATGACCAATATAACATGAAATTCTTAATTTCTTAATTTTAAGTCCCCTAAATCAGATAAAAACTGCATTTAATCTTCATGGAAACTATCAAACTTATTTGTTTTTTACAGCTAAAGGTGATTCTTGGATAACATTTTGCCTCATATAGGCTAAGACTCTACACTGTAGTTGCTTTTCAATGAGACACATATTGCACCTCATTCAGGTTAACCATATGACTCAGTGAAACTGATAAAAAACATTAGATTTTCAATACTTGTTACTCATTGTCCACTCATAAAATATCTGGAGCAGTGCTACCTGTGTGTTAAAATTGCTGATACAGAGGATTTGCTCTGAATGACAGTGACATTTAGTAAAGCCCACCTATGTCCCCAATTTAGACTTCCTGATTAATGTTAAATTCCACCCACAGCTACCAGTTTCAAACCGGTGGGCAGGTGTGATAGACACAGACAAGGTAACTTAAATGGCAGAGGCTTATTTGAGTTGCATTGCTTCCTGCCTTGACTCAGCAGAGCATATGCCCCCGGCCACATGAAACATTTGTCAGCCTGTGGCTTTACAGTGTCATACCCACAGCCTTTAAGGAGGAAACTGAATCATAACTTGAAATTCAAGGTCTGTGAGAGAAACACGATTTAGTGTCATGGTATGGGAAACTAAGGTTGACTGGACTTTGAAGACTATTTTGTTTTTTGATGTTTTTAATAATTATTACTTTGCCCTAATGGAACAAGCAGTGTAACTTTGCAAGGAAAACAAACAATAATTATTTGTGTTAGAAATAACATTTATGTTGTTTTTTTAATCTTCTACTAAAATAAAATTATCCTGATTATGAAATATTTGGGCAATTTAGCAAGTCTTTATGGTGAAATATTGTTTTCTAGAGAGGTAGGTTGACTCCAGTGCACAGTCTTTCCGGATGACTGAAATGAGCTCTGGTTTCTGTTTGTTTTGCAGGTAGGTTGTATCCTCAGGGCACGTAGTGTTTCTTGTCTCACCTTTGCCAAGATTATTGGGAAGACCTCACCAGAATACTCCTCCCCTAGATCAATTCAGAGAAATGTCTCAGCATGTTTTGTCTGTATGGTATGCACCATGTTTCTGTGTGTGTGTGTGTCAGACTGTGGTTGACTGGGGGAGTGCAGACTATCAGAGTTTCACTTTGACCCATCTGCAGGCAGACTACACACAAATATCTTGGATACAGATAGCTGTTGCTATAACAATTCTCATTGTAGGTCTGCTCTGGAGGACAGAGTCTAAGAAAAAGAATACTGCTTTTAATGTTTTGGTTTGAAGGTAAAATACTCAAGTATAAATAAATATAATCACACATTTGTTGTTTAACCGTTCAGTGAATCCTACAGTCCTAAGGCAAGAGATTTAGTAAAAAGGAAAGTACACTCATCACCTTTTGGTGCCTTTTTAAAAAAGACAGCATGACTGCATAATAAAACACAGTGTAGCAATGTGTGGTAGTCAGTTTGCAGACCACACACAGTACATAATGTTTAGAAAGGTCAGACAGCTCCCCCTACTGTTACATCCTTTCGACTGCAACAAGCTGTTACAAGGTTCATGCCATTATTAACACACTATTGCATCAGTACACAAACCGATGATACAGTTCATACAATAATTTGTGTAAAAATATAGGTACGTTTTTTCTCCAACTATTTATTAAAAATCCTACATTGCACATTAAACAATTGCAGCAATATGCATTTCCCTATACACAGAAAATGATACATTCAAATAAATAAAGTATTAAATATACATATTTACATATTCGACAATTACTTATATTGCATTATTCTAAATTTTAATAACATACTCATCAATGAGCACATCTCTGGTCCACAGGTCAACATTCAGAGAAATCAAAGGGTAGTGTAAAATGTCTTAATGCAAGATAAACATATTTCTTACCAAAATAAACATTTGAGGGCATTTGAAATCACATTAGAAAGAGCACTTGGGTTTCCTTTGATTCCCCAACAATATCATTCAATCATTTGTTCATTAGAATACCCTCTCTTCATACTCTTTACCGTAATAAACAAACATGGAGTTATGGACTATACACCTAAAAAATCTAAAACCTTGAAGTATTATTGACATTTAAAATAAAGGACATTGTGTGAAATTAAAGGATTGTGTATTTTGTGTACCGCAGCACAGCCTGACTCAGATTTTTAAAAATGAAACATCTTGACCTTACATAAACAGATGTTTCACTATTACCACATACACATGTTCATCGCACTGATATAGGCCTACTGTATGTGTTAATGCACTGAAACTCTTTTTCAGTTTACAGCAAACCAACTATTACAGTGTACTGCAGCTTAAGGTTTGGTTCACCACATTCTTAGTTGTTAACTATGCAAATCTGCAATTCGTCATTTGAAAACCAAAAGGAAACACCTGCTCACATCTGCATTTTAAAAGCACCCAAAGAAGTTTCTCTGGCTGCATGTGAGGTTGCTGCAGTGTATTTGCAGGTGCAGAGAGCAGACTGGTCTACAGTAGAACAGACTGTTGACGATGAATTGTGCCCCACCCCCCTAGGGGCATTTCTGGGTGACCATGTCACAGACCATCCATCATGGCCAGAAGGTCGTCTCCTTTGCTGCTGGCACTGGGAGATTGATCTCCAGACTCTGTGAACTCTCCCATGATCTTGGCCAGCTCTGCATTGGCTTGCTGGTCCTGAAAGACAATCCACCGATCGCAGTGTCAGAGTGTTCATGACAGGGACTTACATCTCATTACTGTAAATCCTGTTAGACTGGCAAAGCCTTACATCTCTGATCACCGACTGTATAACCGTAAGCCTATCAATGAGATAAGTCAAATTTGGAGTCCAATCATGGGGGTTGCTTATCAAAAGTAAAACACAGCTTATTGGTTGTGAGGCTGGCAGGTTGGGCCAGTGCAGACTATACACAGACCACTCGCGATTCGCCTGTCAAAGTGCAAAATCACCTTTTCGTTCGCGACCTTTTTTGCTGGTGAGTGAAATAAATCTATCAGACACTTTTACTGGCTGGTGACACATAATCTCATAACAAGTTCTCTAGTTCAAGTGTTTCTGAGATGGGTCCTCCACGTTGTATGCTTTCCCGGACACTATGTGAGTTTTTAAATATGTTTGATTTCATCATTGCCCGAAACAAGATGCACAAGGGGATGCAAATTTGAGATGAGTCTAAAATGGGAAAAGAGCAGTATCCAATCAGAGTGCAAGAGAAAACAGGGAGCAGCTAAAAAAGCAAACAGTCCAAAACAACACAAACATCATGGCTACAAAGAGGGCGAAGATGGGGACTAGTGTTACACAGACTAAGTGGATACAGGAGATGGAGGGGAGGGTCAATAAACTTAGGCCCTCTACAAACTCTATCACCAGTCAGACGTAAACAAACCAGGTGTCATTTCCAGTAAGTGACATCTTCTGTGTTTTTGTCGACTATCACGATCATTTGCTATGATCGCAGATCTCTCCATCTAGAGTAATCTTGCAATATATACACCTCGAAATCAGTTGTGTAGTTTGCGCATCCTAAATTTCAACAATAATGTCAACAATGTCAACACTAATGTCAACAGACGGCCAAAAAATGCATTGTGGTTTGAGCAGCAAAAATCTGAGATTTTCAAAGTCTTGTAGTCTGCACTTCCCCTTAGATGACACATGTATGGTCAGACTTTTTGTCACCAAGTGTGCAGCAATAGTTAGATTTGTATTATACAAATACTGGATATCTATTTTTTTTTCTACAAAAAGGAATACTTTACCTTTGTTGCCTGGATTTTTATGACTCCATATGAAAGCTCATCTGGTCTTGATATTAATGCCTCTCTGTGGAAAACGGGAGTCACAATGTTAGTTTACAGGAAAGACAAATTAAATAATTGACAGTACACAAACACAAATAAGGGCACTCACTCTTCTTCCTCATCGGTGGCAAAGAGGTTGACTCGGAAGCCGCTGTCTGCATTTCCTGGTTTCTGAACTTCTAACCCACCCATTAACTTGGCCAACAGATTTAGCTCCTCTTTGGCCAGAGGGTTGGGAGCAGTGTTGACCTGTTGACACACAATGACTTGTTCACTTCTGTTTATTCCTGTTGTACCTGTTGTTTACAAGATCTTGCAACTGATAATGATGCACCAGGAAGTAGATTATGGTTCAAATGTGTATGCATGTTATGTACTGTGTGGACACTGTAAAGAGTCTTCAAAATTTAATTTGTGTGCATGACAACATTTTGTGTATTAATCAAGTTTGCAGTGCGGAAAATGAAGCGGTTTCACCTTAGTGTGCTGAGCAGAATTTTTAGATGTTCCTGACATGTGGGTTTCCACTGGGCGGCTTACACTGTACCTGAACGAAAAAATAAAAAAGGGAGAATGAGCATTCATGACCATGTAACATAGTGCTAAAAATTACCTGTACAAGAAATTACAAATGTTTGATTTACAATATATGGTATTTTGCCATATGTCAGACATACTGACACTCTATGATTGCATAAATTAAGATGACTAAATCAAAAGCTAATGGATTTCTTGTTTAGTCTTGTAGAAATTCATCCACTCGTCCAGTAGACATACTTTTTGGGAACAGTACGTGTAGATATATCATGGCCTGGATAACAGAAAATGTTCATGCACATCTTTTGTACGTTGCAGCATCTTACATGTTTGTGCCTAGTTTGGTGACCCTGTCTCCAAATATCTCGAAAGATCCCTCCCGAAGAGCAGCGGTATAGTTTCCTCCATTACTGAATTGCAGCCTGGTCAATTCTTCACCAGTACAGCTAAACATCCTGGAATTACCAGATACAACAACACAATTTACTAAGGAGAAGCATGCTTTCAGTACACTTTCTAGACACAGCAATATAATACCGCTGTTGCTTTGAATACTTCTAACACTGTTATTGCTTAGATGTTCTACATATGAATTCTTGTTTCCTTTATGTATTAAATGTCTCACTGTGCACATACAGTAAAATCCTTAAGTAATTTGATCCAAGCTAAACATACAACACATCTATAATTAGAATGCTAGTTCAACAAAACCTCTGTAATGCAATTAGCTCCAGATAGGCCTTCTTAACGTAAGATTACAGTGTCTGTGTAAGATCAGCAGACATATGAAAGACAAAAAGACCAACACTAAAGATGAAGAAGGACCAAAGGTACATTTTAATATTCTACAAACTTGTTTAATCTAAGTCTTAGTTATCTCCATTGTTCTTGAGTGAGGATTGTTTGGCTCTGAGTAAAAACATCCGTGTACTGTGGCACCTTATCAAACCAGGGACTTGTGTTCCATGAGGCACAGGACCACTGGTGGGAAGCACAAAGCGGCCATTGGAGTTTTGCACTTTGTCCTTAAGAAAAATAGATACCTGGCAAAGAAGAAAACATAGAGACAGGCTTGTGAGGAAAATAAAAGACAAATAAAAAGAGAATGTAATATTGTCCAGTTAATTCTCTCCCCATGCTTGGGGAGTTTGGCAAACTAATGGACTTACTCTTATATGCATGTCTTGGAAGAAGATAAGGAGAGTTTGTCTGATCAGCTGGAAGTCCCCACTAGACAAGGGTGTATACATCTAAAAAAAAAAATAATAATAAATTAAATAGAAAATAAATTACAATGTAACTGCAAAACAAATAATAAAATAGAAAAAAACATTGATAATCATTATTTATGAGTTTGTGTTTATATATATATATATATATATATATATATATATATATATATATATATATATATATATATAATTTCCCTTTACTGTTTTTAAGCATTATCCTATTGAACCTAGTATAATCATACAAATAACATGCAATGAAAAAAAATCAGTTGCTATTGACACCTCACATAACATGTGCAGTACTATCGTTCAATGTATGTGACTGTAATCCAAATGGTCTGAAACTATGACAGCATAATGTATTACCTGCATCAAGTATTAACAGCTGTATAGTGACTTGAAACACTGTGACCTAGTGTTTTAAATAAGTCAATCTTGGCTATTAAAGTGAGTATGGAGCTGAACAGGATGTTTTTTTTAGCTTATTTAAACTGACCTGATATGTGAACTTTCTTTTTTGGTCAGAGGACTATGACACTCCTAACATCGACTGTCAAATGTTTCCTCTTCTTGGCCATATGAGTTGTACTACACTGCAGTTTTTAATATCCTGTGTCAGGAAAAGCAATGACTCACAATGTGTCTTATGAGAGTGTAATGTCAGTTTTGTGCTCTACAGCTGACCATGTATGACCAAGCTAACACGCACAGTATTATGTGAAGTTGTTTCCCCTTTGTTCTTTGTTCTTTGTTCTTCTTGGTACACTCAGCCACGTTTGGAGGCAATGTTGCATTCTACCTCTATTTTTTTTAACACTGGTTCACATACCACCAAAAAAAACAAAGATCTTGCAGCATGCTCCAGGAAACCCCACCAAGCCACGTGTGATATCGTTAACCACTCCTGTCCATAACAAATGTGAAGAGAGTGAAGTCACACATGTCCTGTCATACCTCTATGAGCTGTTGGTACGTCTCGTCAACCTGGCTGAGAATGCCGGGTGTGTCTTTCACAAAGTCTTTGATTGCATCCATGTGGTTGAAGGAGACGAGGAGGAGGTCCTTAGGCCGGGGACAGAGAAGTACCTGGTACTTGAATGCCATGGTCATCAAGTCATAGAGCTGTGAAGAGGGAAAACACATGCATGGCTTCACTGACTCATCCATCAAAATAAAAGGAATGCTACTGTTGTATAGTAAACAGCAGAGGGAGCCACATACAGCAGCATACAGTGTGTAAGATATGAATTTCTCTATACTTATGTAGAATTACTGACATACTGTGTGCTTTAGGGAAACACTATATCCAATTTTCACACTTTTGATATGAATATTAGGCATTGATTGATGGGTAGATTTATGTAATGTAGATCTATGGCATGACTCTAAAATACTTCTCTAGTGTGTTTACTGGGAATAGAACAATTCCAAATGTGCAGGATACAACACAGTATACAACACAGTATACAACACAGTATACAACACAGTATACAACACAGTATACAACACAGTATACAGCTGTTCAGGAGGGCTACGTGTGACTTACCTTGTCCATGCTAGCTTGATTGAGTCTCATTATGGATGCATGAGCCAGCCTGTCGAACACAGTCCGCAGGGCCTTTTTGGAGTAAAGGTCCTGTGGCTTGAAAAGCTCTTCTAGGAACTTTTTGTTGAACATGGTGGTGATGATGTCATTCATAACTGGTCAGGCAAACAGCACAACAGAAAAGTCCACAAAGAGTTAACTGAGGATAGACAAATGCTCTTTTCACACTGTAGGCTCAGAAGCAGGCAGATAAGCATTCTATACTATATGTCGGCCAAAACCATTTCATCCAAAGCCTAACCCAATGGCCCTAATAAAGCAGCAGCGTGGAAAGCATATGTCCTACTTGGTAGCAGGGCAATAGCCAGGTTTTTTTTGTGTTTGAACTCCCCTCAGAAATGTTAACTTCTACCAATCACTGTTGTAATTTGCAGAAGTGATGAGGATCACCGTTAGAAGTGTCAGAAAGTCAAACCTATCAGGTAACTTCAACCTTTTCCAATCATTTTGCAAGTTTTTTTCTGGCTAACGAGTGAAGAAAATAAACTTGCTTAACACAGTGTGGCTTGGTAGTATTTTGTGCTACTTACCCATAAGGAAGCCAAAAGCTGTTTCATATGTGGCACAGGGGCCTGCTTGGTAGCCTGAAATGCTCTTTCATTTGATTAATAGAATTTGCAGAAATCAATCCCTGTTTTGAAAACAACTCCCATTATTGTAAATGCATCTATCCAATGAAGGCCCTTACAACACATAAAGTTTGTAGCCAGGATCTGAGCATTCAAGTGACCCAACCACTTACAGGATGTACCTGATGCAGAGACAACCGCAGTACATAGGTTGTGAGGTGTGTGCAAATGAGGTCTCATGGGTTTATTCAGAGCGCTCCTTCAGTCTAGTCCAAAGCAGAGCAAAGAGCTACTAATGCATCAGGGCATGATTATACTAAAGCTCTGTAAGAATACCTCTCCTTCTGTCGTCGTCTATCCAGCCAGCTATTGCAGAGTCTTTATGAATTCAAAAGGAGATAACAAATGAAATGATGTTCCGAAAAACCAGATTGTTGAATGACATCTCAAGACTTGACCAATGTCGTTTGACGAAGTCTATGCTAAGTTTGAATGGATGCTAAAATCCTCCCAAATATGTGTACACATTATGTGGCTATTTATTATCTAATATCATTTTGTGTAAATCAGGCTTGGGATTATAATCAGGCTATGTTTTACAGCCCTTTTTTTAGAGCAGCTTCCCATTGATTACCAATGAAACCTTGGGAATGATATTTGTTCATGCAACAGAAACGTTTGTCTATGTGTGTTGTGATTTGATCAAATTGTGTGGAGCTACAAAACCACCACCAGTTGACTCATTAATGAGAACTCTTGTATTTAGACTGGCTTTCTATGAATCGTAGGTACTTATTATACATTCACAAACCAGTAAACAGACAAACCGAACGGAATGTGCTGGTTTTAAATACAGGGTGACATTTGTGTTGTTATCTGGATAGCTGCTAAGCTAAGGTTAGCTACCTTTCTTAGCTTTGTCAGCGGGGATATTCTGAGCTCGGAGCCTCTGGTCAAGGATGTACAGCATCTCTCCGCCGAGGTTGATGAACAGCAGGGGTAGAGTTCTCGAAGACATGGTGGTATTTGAATGGTTTAATCTCTTCAGAAAACGTAGGTAGCTAGCGGTTGTAGCTAGCTCGAAAGCTTGCCGATAGGGGGTCTGTCTGTTTGGTAAAGCCTCTTCTGGTTGCCAGGCCACGAAGCAGATCAGCCAATCAGAGTGCTGTACGCTATGACGTACAGGAAGAGGAGGGGGGCAGGCGGGTGTGAAACTTTTAATTTCACCAGCATGTGAAGTAAACTGGAGGTCAACTGCGTATGTTAAATAATAAAAATAAAAAAATTATGTAATGTATATATTTCTGATTTTGCTTTTGTTCCTGTAAAATGATTTCACAATCTGAAATGCTTGGTTGAAATGCTAAGACCTGTTAGAATACCTCATGTACACACATTAAGACAAGGTTTATATTCACCAAACTAATCCACATAGGATTTTCTTTTTGTCAGAAAACCACTTGGATCACATTTTAAGTTATTATATAATTTTCTACATTAAAAAGTATATTAAATACCATTAAATAATCACATTTTATTGAAAATAGGGTACAAAATCATTCATGCTTTAATGCAATTTGAACAATGCAATTTATTTACAATAATGCAACTCAATACCAGCACTTTGCCACACAGTTATACAGGTAGATATAAGGCTACAGGTAAAATTACATTTAATACACTGAATTGCATAATTCATCAGCTGTTCCTCCATTGTTGTCTGCATAAATGCCAGGCCTGCTAGGAATAAACAAACTACTTCCACAATAGCTGGACATAATCAACAAACAGAAAATACTGTATAGGCCAGAATCCTTTATGTCTTGTTATGGTGAAATTTCTCCATTCCTGATACGGATTTCTCTCGCCATCCTGCATGTCTCGCAAAGTCCGCAGCAAAAGGTCATCAAGGCGTCATTCAGTATTGTTCCCTGAGGATAAAAGATAGTAACAAAATCACAATGTGGAACACAGACACTCTATGAGGAAATGTCCTGCAGTTGAGGTTTCTCAATTGTAGGGAACACCCAAAATGTCCTACGTTCATGAAACATCTCTTTCATAAGTGTCAAGTTACTGAAAACAGGCCACTCTTCCTCTATGAAACTTACAGCACCACCCAAAAACATGAGCAAAGGTCTTCTGAAGAGTTTGGAATATTAAATACGTATGAGTTATTTACCTGAATACCATAGGTCAGTCTCATATGAGTCCTCATGGCTGTTAAGCCTCCTGGCAAACAACCCAAGCAGCAGTTTTCTCCATACTTGCTTGCTGTGTAGCAGCTCAGTGCAATTGGACAAAAGCAACCAAGAGCACCTGCAAAACATAAGTGTATTCCATTGTGAATTTTTGAAAGAGAAAAAGAATGAAAGTATATAAAACTGAATGATAATAATAATAATTTAAGCATCTTGAATGGTACTCACAGACTAAAATGTCACTGCAGCAGGAGCATAGCCCAGTGCTCCACTCTCCTGTTTGGACATTTGTTCCATAGCCGCCTGCACCTGGTTGATGGGTCACCACTGGGTTCGACATTTTGGATTACCGGAACTGCTTGTTGTTTCTAATTTTGCTGCCTAGTTAAGAACACATTCAGCGGTTAGCACTGGAATAGAGCAAAATGTGGAAAATGACCTAAATTAGTCCTTTCACCGTTGTTTTCACATTTGGTCATATGTACATATGTGTGACACTATTCATTTCCTGAGTAGGATATGTCAGTTTGACTTCGTCATAGACTAAGTCAGCGGTATGAGTAAATCAATTCTAGTGCTCTCCATTGGAGAATAACGCTAAAATACTAAATGTGTTCCTCATACAGTTCAATCCGCTTTCATGAATGTCCCTGCAAAGCATGTAATGTATGAACAAACTATTCATGGACTTCGTCATCAACACAGAACGAGACACTTGTGTGTGAGGTTTTGTTATTTAGACACTAATTGATAATTGTTTACTTGATCACAATCAGTGTATAACTATTCAGCTTCCCACTCTTTAAATTTTGCTCAGAAAAATTATTATTTTGTATTTTCCTTCCATTTAAAATTATTTCCTTTGTATAGTCTATGGTTGATTAGGTCAATACCAGATCATAATACTATATAAAAGTAAGTTATTGCGACAAAGACTGGTAAATGTCACCGTAGTTAATTATGTATGTATGTATGTTAACTATGAGCCAAGTACGTAAACTATAACATACTTAACAATGAATATGAAGGTATTACTCAACCTGCAGTACTAAAGAACATGTGACCGTATCTTGTATAAATGCTATCAAAATGAGTTCATCGTGAATGCACAACTTTTAAAATACAAAATACGAATGATTTGCAAATATCAGTATCAGTGTGTATAAATTAATAATAAACTTTTAAGTTGATCTACTGCGAAAGGAAAAAAAGGTGTCACACTTACCAGAAGAGTCTGTCAGTGTGAACTCGTACTGATCAAAATGACAAGCAACACACCACACAGGAAGTTGTGACGAGCTTGAGCTGTGAAATGCTGGTTTGCCAACAAACTGCTGTTCTGATGATGACAAAGATCTGTGGTGATTCACTGACAAACTCAGACTATTAACGAGAATTGGTCCTACTGTGCTTTGAGGGCGATAGTGGGTGCAATCACAAACATCTATAGACTGTTAGGAGGTGAAGGCTTCTATTTAAATGGTTCTCCAATCTCACATTAGATCAGCAGTTAATGAGAATTCACACAGTTGTCAGAATCTTGTCATACTATGCCATAACTGCAGTTTGTAAGAGAAGGGATGTTTGTGAAGTATTGAACCTGTACAAAGCTACACATATCGGCACACTTCCTTTCTGATTATGTGAACCCAAATGTTCATATGGATGTCCCCGTTATATTCACACAGGGCGTAATGTTTCCATTCGGAGAATCAGGTGTGAAATAACTTTAATATATATTATAATGTAAATTCACAGGATGATGCTCTCAAAAGCAGTATATGAAATTCTGTTTTATTCAGAATATTGGATATGAAATTAAATGATTACGGGGTTAGGGTCACAATTTGAGGAGATGTTTTATTTGACAAAAATAAGAAACACATTGAACTATAATGCAGCAACCAGCATGCTGTACAAGCTCAAAAATAATTCTCAAATGTTTTATTTACTGCAGCAATCTTATAGTGGATTCATCATATTGTACAGATTATTATTTATAGATTATAGATTACAGATTATAGTTTCCAACTCCTGTTATGACTATTTAAAAGCCTTTTCTCCACGAACACTTCACCTCAAGTCAATCAAACAGTGCTTAATCATGTTGTAATATCACAGATGCTCTTACAGATACGGAAGAGTGCTGCTCTGCACAAGGCCTGCAGAAAATAAAAGAAAGAGTACTAATATTGTGACTAATTTCACGTTATGCAATCACTTGCTCTGACTTATGTTTTATTAGGAGTAGTACAATGTAGTTGTTGTAGTGTTGAGTCCTTTAAGTTGTAGCCTATAGTGGACAATTCAGCAGTTTAGCTATTTTGTGTACCCAAACTGCCAAACATTTCCTAATTATCAGGTCATTTGAGTTTCTGACTTTAGTTAATACCTTGCAGAAGTGATAGCAGTGGCTGCCTCACTTGTTTTGTGCAGATACATCTTAAACACAAAACACATTTGAATACAACTTTCTGGGACATTTTATTTTCTTTAAAATCTGACATCAACTTGAAAGCAAAAGAAAATAATATTGTATGACTGCACATGAAAAAGGAAAAAAAACAACTATTTATTCACATGCCACATATTTACACCTGAAGGTGTAAAAGTTGTTGGTTAAGACAAGCATTTAGAATCAAGTGTTGTATTATACAGTATATTGTCTTGACTGGTTCTAAGCTTTTGTCTCGGCTGCCTTGGTGTTTGTGGAGGCTGAACTCATCTTCTGCTCTGCTTTCTGCTTCTGCACTGCCTTGAAGACCTGAGAAGAGACACATGATCAAGTGTCAGTGGAGCTGTAAAATCACACCTTGAACGTGTTACATAGTGCCCACAACGGCCCACAGAAAGCTTGAGTAATGCTCTCAAAAACAACATGCACTATTGCTTCACTAGTGTGGAGTAAAGTCTCATAAAAGGTTTAAGGTCTTTAGATATGAATCTCCAATTGATACCACTATTATCCACTTCCAATAAAAAAAGACAGCATACATTATCACAAGTAGAAAATATAGGTGTAAACAGAATAATGGGGTCATTTGTTTGATACCTTAAGGCAGAAGGCCTTCTTGGCGAGCCAGCGACGAGTGACCCGTCTGTAGTACTCTGGAGGGAAGGTGTAGGTGATGCCCAGCTGCTCGCACACTTTCTCAAAGGCATCGTAGCGAACCAACCTGAGGTTTTTCAAAAGCTTTTTCCTTCGGTCAATGGCCATGAGCATCCGTCTTTTGTTAGCTATGTCCTGGAATGAAATAAAACATAAAAGAATGGGGGTTAGACTACAAATGTGATTCAAACAGGCTCAAATGGGAGGAAATGAGGACATCGTTGGAAGCCCAGTTCAAACATCAATCAGCTTATGAGGAGATACTTAATTGCAAACGCAACAGAGACACAGTGCATCATTTGCAACCTCTACTCCCCATCTCTCAATTTGAACAAAAATGTTCGACGTATGATGTATGATGTATGACGTATGACGTGGAAATTTCCAACCGTGACTGTGCTACGCATGTTCTTATTTCATGTGGGGGAGTACACAGGATATCCTGTAGAACACACAGCCCTCACACCAGAGGAAGGCAGAGAGGAAATGTGGAGAGACGTATTCATCAAAGTTCTAGTGGTGCAAGTCAACTGCCCTATGATATGATATGTCATTTAAGACTTGTATACAACACCTGACCGAAGAACAAGCCTTCCTGTTTAGCTTGCAAGGCTGAAAAATGATGCTGTTTCTACTTCCTTTACTCACCTTGTGATGTTTTTGCAAATGCTCCTGATAGTTTCGGATTCTTGCAGTCAACATAGCCACTGAAGGAAAATACATGGGGGGGGGCATACAGTTAAAATACACTATATCCCAGCTTAGTATTTTGTTCAAAACACCATGTACAAGATTGCAAAAAGACAACTCACCCTGAACTTC